CAATTTCTTACACTTTTATAACATTAAAATCCTGAGCAGGGAAGGAAAGCTGTCATTTATCACAGTACTTTTCAAAGTGATAAAAATAAAATCATTAATTAATGTGCAGTGTATTTATGCAAAGGGTAACATAGTAATGTAGCAATGGTGTTTATTATCCAGAACTAATGAACGATCAGTGAATCCAAAAATTTTATTTCACGGTAGATGTTACATCTCATCTAAATCAGCTTAACTCTTATTCGTCTTATTCACTCGTGTGAAAGGTTTTCAAGACTGACCGTTTCTAAAGTTCCCTAATAGCTCACTAGATGGCAATCAAGAAACATAATCCGGCAGTTGATGCAGCAATTCGGCTTCAAGAAAATAAGCATTAGCCATTGAAGACAACATCACGATGATGTACACTATGCAGCACCAAGAAAAAGGCCTGTAAGAACAGTGTGAGAATAAAGCACATGCAAAGTTGCACTCTGCTTGAAAATCTGGTTCCATGAGTACCATAGAGAGTGATTTGTAGGCATGTGTTCTCTTTTCCCACCCCTCAAACAGTTAAAAACTACAGGGGAAAGAAAGCACAATTTTTTTTATGTTAGAAGTTATTTCATTTGAAAACAAATTCTCTCTTTTTGCTCAAGATTTTGAAAGAGAAGCTTCGATTCACTTTAGAAAATAACTGTGATATTGACATTTGCTATTTCAAAACAACAGTTTTAAATATGAGAGAAATTTTTCAGCAGGTTTTAGGAATTCAAAAACAACAAAGCGACATTAGCTTTTGTTAAAAAGCCCCTTAATACTGCTGTAATATAATTAAATTTTCCCCCTTTAATATTGATATTGGCAACTTTGAACTCCAATTGCTGGATTTAAAAAACAAAGCATTAGGGAACACAAAATTTGAACGTCTTAGCGCTGATATGGAAACCCTCGAGAGAAATAAATGTGAACTTAGTTCACAGTACAAGTGGTCTGCTTTGAAAGATCTAGAGAAGGAATACATGTTGATTTTTAACACATGTAATAGTATTCCTGACTCACATAATCAGCTGAAAAAAATAGCATTTGCTGCTGTATTCTTATTCGAGCCTACATATTCATGCGAACAATCATTTTCAAGCATGAACCTCATCAAATGCAAACTGAGAAGTTGTCTTTTTGATGAGAACTTGAAAACATGCTTAAAATTTAAAAAAAAAAAAAAAAAAAAAATGCAAACCTGAGTTACTTTCCAAAGAGATGCAAGGCCATTATTATAATCAGCTGAAAAAATAGCATTTGCTGCTTTTTTCTTATCTGAGCCTACATATTCATGCGAACAATCATTTTCAAGCATGAACCTTATCAAGTGTAAACTGAGAAGCTGTCTTATTGATGAGAACTTGGAATCATGCTTAAAATTAAAAACAACATACAAACCTGGGTTACTTTCCAAAGAGATGCAAGGCCATTATTCGCACTAGTGTTTTGTCCGTCATTATCATGATTTAATTGTGCGAATACTTTACAATTTTATTTTATCAATAACTAATACAATTATTAAGTATAATATCAAGTTTTCTTTGGCATATCTGTACAACTTCACTAAGACTTAAAAATTGAAGTTAGTTAATTTTAGGGAGTGTTGCGGAGTGAAAAAAGACGAAGTGTTGAGATCTGAGAAAGGTATGTTACGATGGGTTGGACATATACAGAGGATGAACAAAAGAAGATACACAAAACGAGTATACAAGACAAGTGTGGATGGGAGAGTTGGAAGAGGGTCAACTTCAGCGAACATATGTTGATCAAATTGAGGACGTTCTTAGTAAAATTCAGCATAAGAGTACCCTAATTAAGTGAATAACAATATACCTACCTATGTAATTTAAATTTTAAAAATGTGGCTCTCAAAAAAGATTTCAATCCTTGAATTGTTGATAATTAGATGTCTGATGACTAATGAGTTTGCTGACCACTGTACCAGGAGATCGAGAGATGATGAAAAACCTGGATTTTCCCAATAAAACCAGAAGAATTGACTGTTATGTTACCTCATTAAAAATTAAAAATATAATTTAAATCATAAGCTGACATACAAGAGGTAGCCAAAAAGTCTCATGACCAAATAAAAATGCTCACTCCACTCAGGTGGCTAATATTGGTGATGCCTTAGTATCCTAATTTTTCACTTAAATTTGAGTAACTACATATTTGTTTTATGTAGTTTTTGCTATTACCTAGAAAATATTAACTGTGGACATAGCAACACTACTACATGTGGATCCAACATGATGGAGTGCCACCCAATTCCAATGTACATGAGTGGAGCACCTTCAATGCAATATAACAAAAACTGGTCAGTGTGGGTCTCATCACTTGGTCGAAATGATCACCCAATCTCTCAGGTATGTACATTTTCTTATGAGGACATTTGAAAAGCTAAATCAATTCCAAATCATTGTTGAGGACAATAGTGTCAGAAATTCTTTCCAGTGCTACTACCATTTGACAAATGTCTGCCCCTCCTGCTGATAAATGCCTATCATTACATCAAAGGTATGAAAAGCCTGCATTCATGTTGGTGTACACCCTATTGAACGGCTTATTTATTTAACTTTTCCATCCTCTTTTGTCATCTTTGTATCAGATAACTTCTATTGCTTCAATGTTCTTGCACAATATGACTTGTTTAGGCATGTTCCACCACCCTTATATTATTTCCCAAGCATTTTTTAATCCTCCTGTATACTTGATAAGTAATTGTTTTTGACTTTTACATGAGATATTTTATGAGCTAATTTGTGTGAAATAGTAATCTAAATTATTTCAATGTTTTGCAGTAATTATTTTTCCCCTTTAATTTCTTTGCCTGTTGATAAATGCTAACATGTCAGCAATTCAATAATAATTTTTTAAACTATTGGTATGTGCATATAAAATGGCTTATATTACCAGTCTAATATCAGAATTTGTATGTCAACATACATTTTGTGGCTATCTTTATAACACACTGCCATTCTTTTGGTCACTAACAAAGCATCTAGCTAATCAAGTGTGGACTATATACAACTGACATAATGGATAGAAATATGAGACCTTCCAGTTATACAATATATTCAATAACCTCCACTAAAAAACGTAGAAGAGCATATATAAACTAATCTACTTTTGATCCCCAATTATTGTTTTGATAACTAATAAACTAACTAATAAAACTACAATTCTGCAAGATTTTTCAAGAATTACAGACAGCTCAATATGAGAATATGACAGCTATTCCTTGGCTATGATGACTGATACTCTGGCCATTGGAAAGAAATCAGTAACTGGCTACCCACTTTGTTGGCACACTGATTTAGATATACGATCATGAAAAAATAGTATTTAAGAGTAAGGCAATGAAACAAGGATGATGGCAAACTACCTTACACCATCTAGATATACTACTCTCTTAAATTTAAATATACAGTAAGATGAGTTTTGCTCAGACAATTCAAATTTGAAATGGAATCTTAAGAAAACTGGATTAAAAAAAGGGAAAAGTATAAATGAAGAAATTAAGTTATTCCATACAGCTGTGAAGCAACAGATATTATACTAACCAATGACAACCACTAAAGACAAAAATGTATACATAGATACATAAATATGTAAGAATTTATAACTAGATTTATGTCACACATCAGTTTTAAATTCCCCACGAAAGTTTTAAATTTGCATGTGTAATAAATTAATATTACCTAATTTTAACTATATTATCATTCGTAACTATAAATGGCAAAAGCAGTCACAGCTCACCTGAAATTTAAGAAAAAAATATGACGTGCAGATTTGATAGATGGTGAAACAGAAAGTGACACGTGACAAATTAAATTTTAAATTTTTCCATTATTTTTAAGCATTAAAGAATAAAACATACATAAAATATTTTAATTTTAATGGATTTTTTTAGGAAATTATTTGCTTATTGATCTTTTCATTCAAGGCAGAATATACGACTTTTGCATAAGGATGACAGAAATGCTAAATTATTGAACAAGCTATACAGGTGGCCACCCAGGAAGCTAAGTTTAATAGGGTTGTTATTAAGATATTTGTCTAAAATTAACTTAAAAAAGCATATTTTTCTCGTGTTCTCACTATCAAGATGCCTTCTACCCAAAGATAACTTTCTCTGGCACCAGTTAACCTAATGCAACTTTGCTCTAAGAATTGATTGTACGAGTTCAAATATTGTTATATATAATCTTCAGTGATACACAGACAAAAATGACTGAACTGTCGAAAATGTTACTGAAATTGGCTTGTAAATTTTGTCTTATCTGCTGCAAAACCAGACAAAATAAATACCTTTAACAGTCTTGCAAGAACTGATCAGCACATTTTCCAGTTGCTAAACTCTATCCTTGAGGTACTGGTTTCATCAGAGTAGCCAATGTGAATGAACAATTGGCAAACTCTAATGCAGATAATCTTTATTGTTACAAGATTCAGAAACTTCCTGAATAATGACAGAGGGTTATCAAAGCTTTAGTATCCACATTACCATCTTGAAGTGCTTCAACTAATAACTCACATTTAATTCATTACCCTTAATGAATATAATCTTAATACAACAACCTGTTTTGCATGCAGTAATCCAAACTGGAAGATTTTTGGCAGCAATGTGTCTGCACCGAAAGATACATCAGACCAATAGTAGTACTTGATAGATCGTATTATTATCGAAAGATGCATCAGAACTCATGTTTAAAGAATGCAATTAACATAGATACACTTTTGTGCTGCCTTATGTTTTTTTCCTTATATACCCTTAGAACAGAAATTTCAAAACCATGCCAATGAAAAGATTTTTTTACCAAGTTCTGAAATGATCAATACAATCTTAGTTAACTAAAATCTATATCTATAAATGCTCAATGTTACATTTTACACAATATAATTTCTTTGTAAAACACACAGAACAAATGCATGGAATGAATATAAGCATTACACTTGAAAATGAAACTCAGTGTTACCTTTATTAGCCTCGATTTAATATGCTCATCATACAAAAACTGAGAAAATATCTGGAACTTTTTTCTTAGAAACTGATACACAAAGTTCACCTGAAATAAAAAAAAAATCAATCAGTTCAAATAATAAGAAATAAGCATTAACAGTACATAACAGAAAGGATAAACTTACTGTGGTATTCATAACACCAATTCCATGTGTTCTTATTGAATTAGCAATGTGACGAATATTAATTGTATTCAAGTGTTTATTGTTGCTTGATCGTTCAACAAATATCTAGAAAGGAACATCAAATATAACATGCATCATGTAATAAATACAAAAATAAGCAGACATATATTCTACCTTAAGATAGTAAGATTGAACATTTCCACCATATATATATATATATATATAAAACATACATATATATTACACGTAGATGAATTCTCATATTCAATTCTGAATTCCAATAAATAGAATTTTGATTTCCAGAAAATTCAGCAAGGCAAATTCAACATCAGTTTTTCCTTATACGAAAATAAATGGTTGAATACAGTAAATTTATAAAATATTTCAACTGAAGAAACAAATTTACTTAGTTATTGAAATCATTTGGCACTCTCTTTCTACAAGACACGCAGATCGCAGACTACAGCACATTTTTTGCTGAATTCAGGACTGCTTTTTAATATTAAGCATTAAATTCTGTGGTTCAGTTTAAAATTACATGATGTATCAAAAATGTATTCATCTGCAACTTTTATATAATACTTTTATATATACTTTTATATAATATAGTGTTCAAACCTAAATACTCTGAAGCTGATTTGTTTACATTCAGTGTAACAAACCAGTGTATTTGCATTGAGAGCATGCAGGGATAGGTTGATGAAAATAGCACTTTAAGATACTTCCAGCAATATACTAAAAAGAGAGGACCAAAGAACACAAATTTTCTTTAACTCTTTCAAGCCCTGGATTCTGAACCTTCCCCCAAATAAGTCTACAAAATATTATTTACAAAATATATTACAAAATATATTAGTCTACAAAATATATTAGAAAAAATAAGTCTACAAAATATTATTTACAGGTGTTAGAACTCCCTTGCAACATATTAACAAGTTAATACTTGAGTTGTAAAAATTAGGATGCCAGAGCAATTGCCACCATCGGTCTCAAGGTAAACAGTCCAATGGCATATACTTGCCAACCTATGACACTCAAAAATCAGGAGATTTTTCACAATGTTAAAAAGACTCTTTAAATGATAAAAATGGTTTTTAATAATGAATTAACTTTAAATAGTTACTAAGTCTTAAATGCAAGCAACACAAAAATACCTTAGACATAAAAAAACATTTTTATTACTTGCATTGTAAAAAAAAAAAAAAAAAAAGACACTTTAATCAGTTTTTGTACAAAAATTATGAACAGTGGCAGATTTTGCTTTTGTTAAGAAAGAAACTTCATAATTTTGTTCATAGCAAATGCCATGTAGGCCTGCTTTCACTAATAAAAGTTTTCCTAATGTGTCATCACTAATATTAGATCTAAATTTAGTCCTCGTTTTCGCAACAACACTGAAAATCCTCTCGCACTCCGCATTACTAAGGGAAACTGTCAAGATGGCCAACATAATTCTAGACAGTTCACGATATTTTAAAATTCCATCAGCACCTTTCAGGTTTCCAATTAAACTCCACTTGGTGTCAATCCTAGCTGATTTTATAACTTCATCTAAGTTTTCTAATTGTAAACTGCAAAATTGCGACTGCAGTATATCAGTGGCACATCAATTTCATCATCTTTCATGACTAAATGAAGTAACACAGGAAATCTATTCAAAAAGTACCTTATATCAGAAAAAGATGCATATCATCATCTTTCATGACTAAATGAAGTAACACAGGAAATCTATTCAAAAAGTACCTTATATCAGAAAAAGATGCATTTGCTAGAGCAGAAACATCACAAACTTTAGCATGCAAAATCACTTCATTGTTGACTGGAAATATATGTAGTATGTAATCACATACTCGACAGAAGTAACTTCTAACATGAAGATAAAACTTATTTTTGTCTTCTTTTGAAAGTTTTTCTACTACTTTTGTAGTTGCAGCTCCTATTACCAAATCTTCATCTTTCTTCTGATTTTCTATTTCACCATAAATCACATCATATATAGAATTACAAGACAAAACACAGACTGGTTTTACAAACTTTGATAAAATGTCTTTAAACAGATCATAAATCATTGACTGCAAAACATGAATTAATGGAATTCTGCTTTGTAGAATTGTGTTAAGAACATCGAATGATGGCAAAATGAATTGTAAAAAAAAAAAAAAAAAAGCAAAAAGCTTTGTTAAGGTCCGAAGAAAAAAACACAAATATCCGTTCCTCACAAGATAATCTTACAGTAATCGGAAAATATTTTGTGTGTTGAGCAATTTTTTTATTTTGAAAGAAATTTGTATCAGCTTTATGCTTATATTTTGCAGTATTATTTTGAGAACTGCCAGTTGAATTGCTGAATGATGCAGAAATTACTTTATTTTTCTCAAACCTATTTTTAACAATGGAAGTAGTAACTACATCTCCATTTACTTTAGGTATTTTATAACTTTCAATAGAGCCTTTTATCTTAACTCTGGAAGCATTTACTTCTTCTTTAAAAAATGCAAGAAGTGGGTTCCATTGATCGAGGATTCTAGATAAGCATTTCTTTAAAGACAGCCAGCGTGTACACACGTTTCAAAATTTTTCTCATTTCAGTATTATGCAGCTGTTGGAACTGTTTCAATTTTTCCTTTCTTTAAGAACTCCTTTCAAGATAATAATAAATATCAACAATGTGTTCATCCACATTTACTGGTAAAGAAGCTGCCCCTTTTTCAGCTGCTAAATTTAAGAGGTGACCAGTACACCTCATAATCTGCAAATCTGAATTTGCCTTTCTTAAGATGCCTGCAACACCAGTCTTCAAAGCCTACCATTACTGGTGCATTATCGGCACCAAGTGCTAAGAAATTATGCAGAGGGACTGCATTTTCTTTTAAAGTTTTAATAGGACAGAAAGTAAACTGCACTCAATTTCTGAAGACTCTTGATTAAAAAAAGAAACAACAATTGGATACAGTTTTGAATCGGTATTATTGCTTCCGTCCGTAGAGAGGCAGAACAGACCTGTTTTAATGCAACAATAACTAAAGATTTATTTTTCAAAATCATTTCTTTAACAATTGCACCTGTTTTGGTCCTTGCACTTGAGTATTTCTTAGCGATTTCACTATCAGGAAACATTTTTCTAAATAAAGCTGCAGCGTGATTCGATGCATTCAGTGGCAGGTTGTGTTCGAAAAATTTATAAAAATTATTTAAAAATATAAATTTAAAAAATAAATCATAAAAATAGGAAAATTTCATTTGGAATAAACCTAAATTTTGAAATACGAAAGCCAGAATCAAATAAGTTTAATAAAAAAAAAAGAGATTAACAAATATATATCAAATTCAATTAATATTGAGGAACTAAAATTTTAAGACCTAATTTTTTAAAAAACTACTCGTGCAATTTTTACAAAACTTAGCAGTTTGGCACAATTTGAGTCCTAGAATCGAAATCTGGGAAAAAATTGCATGTCATTTCAGAAAAAGTCCAATTTTGTGTCAAAATACTTATATTAGAAGAATTATATATATAAATCTAACACATATTCTCAGTCACGCTTTCGAGACATGAAAAATGCAAGTTGAATTTTGTCAATCGGCCCAGTAGAATGGGAGACGTAGAACTGTCCCATTTTTTTTCACAGTGTACATGATAAATACATAACATATATATATATGTATATATGTCATGTTTTACTGCGCAGATGACGGAATCCGGTACTTTTAATTTCTGGCCTCTGAAGACACTTTATTCCATAGTTGGAAGAATGAACAGATAAATAAAAAACTTGCAGATATGGCTGTTTCGAAACATAATTTCATAGTTAAATGCAGTAATTTCCAGGTACATGGGTCATCTTGAGCAGGTACGTAGCAGCATGGATCAGAAGTGTCTTGCCAGAATGAAAGTGTAAGCAAGAAGAAAGTAGCAACTCAGAGGAAGAAAAGAGGGAGTCCAAAAGTTTCAGTTCCAAGTTAAAAAGTTTTTGTTTATAATTAGATAGGGTATCTGCATTAAGCATTACATACACTCAAGAGCCAAAACATTATGACCACCTGTCAATAACGAGTTGGGCCACCTTTGGCACGCAACACAGCTTCAACCCACCTTGGAATGGATGCCACAAGGTCCTTGATAGATGGCCGGAAACAGATTGTACCAGATGTTGTAGCAACGATCACGCAAATCCGAGATATTGCGAATTGGTGGTCTTTGATCTCTGAGCTGCCATCCCATGACATCCCAAATGTGTTCTATCGGACTGAGATCCGGTAAGTTAGGCGGCCAGGACATTAACTGGAAATCAGCATCATGTTCCTGAAACCACTCCAACACAATTATAGCCTTGTGACACAGAGCGTTGTCCTGTTGGAACATTCCATTTCCAGCTGGAAAAACAGAGGCCATGTAAGGGTGCAACTGGTCCGCAATGATGTTCAGATACCCTGTAGCATTCATGTTCTGCTCTACCACAAGCACTGGTCCCAGAGACACCCAAGAGACCGTCCCCCAGAGCATAATACCGCCACTACTGGCCTATATATGACCTATCGTGCATTGAGGGAGCAACTGTTCGCCTGGAAGACGGCGTATCCTGACACGGTCATCAGCGTGATGAATGACAAACCGTGATTCATCTGACCAGGCAACTCTCTCCCACTGATCCATGGACCAGTCAGGATGTTCCCGGGCCCAGCGCAAGTGCAATTGGCGATGATGCTTGGTCAGCAAAGGCACACGAGTGGGACGTTTGCTGCGTAGCCCATATCCAACAGTGTCCGTTGAACACTGTGCTCCGATACTTTTCTACTTGGCCCTGCATTGTATTCAGCTGTCAGCTGAGCCACTGTCTACTGCCGGTTTGCTGTCCACTGCCGGTCCACTGTCCACTGCCGGTTTTCCTTCACCATGCGAGTCAGTCTCCGACGACCTTTTTCTTTGATACCATGTGGACGTCCAACACCATGTCGTCTACTGCTGGTTTCACTGTCATTCATCCACTTTTCATACGTACTAACTAACAACTGTAGATCGCGAACAACCCACGAGTCGTGCAGTTTTGAAAATGCTTGTTCCGAGCCTTCGAGCCATTACAATCAGCCCTCTATCAAAGTCGATTAGATCCGCAGCCTTTCCCATCACACACAGAATTAAGTGAAAAAATAATTCTTCAGACTCTCCAGCAGCAGTTAAATACCACTTCCACCTGATCACGTGATTTCCACGTCATCAAGGCGCGTTCATCGCAAAATGTGGGGCTGGTCATAATGTTTTGGCTCTTGAGTGTAGGATTACATGATTAATTTGAATGATGCAGACTTATAGCACTATTTTTAGGACCGAGAGACAGGAAGTCCCCAAATTAAATGAAAAATAAAAGACGCTATAGCCAATTAAAATTAGAAGTTTGCTTTCATATTTTTTATCTTAATCACACACACACATATATATAAGAATGAAAAAGCAAACAAAACATTGAATTTACAAAACATGAAAAAATTAGATTAATGTAGCAGATTAGATATTGACAGCAAGAGTTCTGGTTAAGTATCAAAATGGCTGATAGAGATGATGAGGAGAAAAAATGAAAAATTCCTTTATATTTCAATCTGAGAAGTAACATCAGCTGATATGAACTATGGAAAGAAGCATTACATGTATATATAGTGTTCTGTTCAACAAATACAGAGTAGCATTACATATTTCCCTTTACACAGAGGCATAATTAGAACTTTTAGAGCCTGGAATGATCGCTGAATTTGCTGCTCTTTTTAGTCTACAATAAATAACTCCACAAATATCCAAATGACATGCAGAGCAATAAATTATGACTACATTTATTTTTGAAGAAAACCTTTTGTTTCAAAATTACAAAAAGTTTTTTTACTACTAATATTTTTGGCAAAACCATTAGTTACATTGTAGAGGTCTATTTGATTGCTCTTTCTGTTACATATACAGTAGAGAAAGAATTTTGAAATGTGAAATACACATATATAGTTCTTAAAAAACATTTCTTAAATAATTTTTGTTTTGAAAACACTTTTCACACCTAGCAACATTTATAGTAATCGACAGAAAAGTTGGCCCTAGTATTACAATATTTGGAACTTTGCTCTGGAGATTGCATTTTAGAATTAATTGCAAAAATCCAAAAATAATCCTTTTTAACATTTGTGTTTCAATCTCACGATCCAAGATGATTCCGAGATGTTCGATTGAAATAAAACTCTGAAATACTTCTTTCTTAATGAGGCAATCTTCCTTATGACTGTCACTGTGATCATAATTTATTTAATATTCGTAATTTGTATTTGAAAGTTTCACTGAAAAAAAAAAAAAAAAAAAAAAAAACTAAAGTATGCAGCCGTTGAAATCATTTGGTGATTTCTTAAAACACTATCTAGATTAAAAATAATCTTCTTCAGAATTCTGTATAGCAAATTAGAATCTAATTGAATCAACTGAAATAAGAATCAACTGAATAACCACTATAAAATAAAGCTTCAGACAAAAAATACCCCACTAAAAACTTGCTGCCGATCTGGATCGCCCCCTTCACCCCTCCAGATAACTACAGCATTTCCACATTTGACCTTTTTGTCTCAATGAGAAAACTGGTTGAAGATAATAAGTACCCAAAATGTGGTAGTGAGACAAAATTAAAGAATTATTTGGGAGCATTTTAGTAGCATGGTTAGAGACAAAATTAAAGAATTACATGGGTGCATTTTAGTAGCATGGTTAATGCTCTACTTCAATATACTTATGTTTTGAGCAAAATATTGGACTGTCGCAAAAGAAACAGCCGATTTCACCGACAATTGAAAAAGGTGACAATAAAAAGATTACAAGTTTAATCAAAGTAATCCATAACACCATCAATGAACTGGTGCCAGCATAACAGAGTCACTGCTATCACTTTGATCAAAAACAATGTCTCTGGAAGTGAGGAGTTCCTCTATTTCTTGATATATTGACTATCAAAGCATTTTTTGCACAAAAAATGGCTCAAGTCTTAGAAAAAATTATATTTTCTTCAAGAAATATCAAACATATACAGGATGGGCCACAATTTTGAATCTCAAATGGCAGATTTGCTGCATGATTGCCATTGCCATATGCAGTTGGCATTACTTAAAGCAACAAGACTCTCATGTCAATTCGCAAGTGATGGTTGCTCTACTGCACATTTGTACAGCATCAAGCAGCATTTATTGTTTCAACTCATGGAAGGAATGAACAGGGAATACAACCAGCAAAAAATAACCATATGGCAAACATCTTTGGATGGAAAGATGACTTTGAATCTAGAAGTCCTTTCTAGAATATATTTCACTTACAACCACTGTAATGAATGTGTATCATTGTCAAAGAATATCCACTGCTCCTTCACTGTCACAATTAATTGTAGTAACCATTCTTCTTTACTTTTTAAGACAGAAGATTTCCAAACAATGTGCTCTGTTCTCATCAATTACTGTGAGACACCCACTCTTCAAGCTTTCTTACTTTTCCTGTTGTACATTTATAGCATCAAATTACACAAAGTGAGAGATCTTTTGTACAGTTTATCATGGATCTGATTTGATTAAATGATTTATTTCATTTAAATTGATGGAGGAAGGGTGACAGCAAAAGCATTCATTTTGAAAAATGGACATGCTGCCAGCTTATTCATCAGGATTTGAATCTCCACTGATCTACCAGTGTTCAGCAACTTTACAATTTGGCCATCGACGAGGTCCCTGGTATTCTGCGAAAATTATTTATTCAGTACAGGAAAGCCATCTCACATCACAAAATTAACTATTCAATGTATTCAACTGCAGAAGAAAGCAGTGAAAGTCATTTAAATCCTGTTTCTATTAATAATCATTCCTATCGATATGGCACAGAGCCGTCTGTTAGAGAAATTTGATCTAAATAATTTTTCACTCCCAACTACGCTTTGTATGACTTATTTTGTGCAAACTGCACTGTTTCTGAAATTCTTATGAGTTTTTTGACTACCTTCTAGTTTTATTTGGCATAATAAATTACATTGGTAATTTCTTTTTCATTTTCAGTTATACAAGTAACTGAATCCATTTCATTTTGCTGTAATAGTTTGTTGTAAATATTCATATATTTTAATTATTGATACAGTCAAAAGTCGTTTATTCGGACACCCATAACCGGAATGATCTATAATCCGGACCTCGAAGCTACAAACTTTCTGCGCGACGCATGCGCGTAAGACCTTTATGGCTGCGAATACGCGTGTGCGCGTGCGCAAAATACGTTTACAAATGTGCATTTTTTGTATAACGGACGGTATAAGCTAAACTAAAATTATCTAATTCAGTTAATGTTGCAGATTGCGTTGTTCCTTAATCTTCGAATTGGATTCGGCTTATTATTTTTTGCATACCGTTAGAGCAATTTTATAAAAGTAAGCTTGAACTTTCGATTATGTCAAAAAGAATTTCCGATATATTTTTACTAATATGTAAAGGATCTAGAAAGCGAAAGTATGTTTCAAAGTCCATTAAACAAAAAGTGGAATTGCTGCAAAAAATGGATAAATGCATATCCTTTGTTTATCTAAACTTTGTTTATCTTTAATGCCCTGGCACGCAATGAATTGGAAGTTGATCAGTCAGCACTATCCTTATCTTCAGGACAGATGTTTTTATTTTATTTGGCTTATAATTCCTTACTAAATGTAGTATTTCATCTCGATATACTCCATCTTTGATATGATTTAAATCAAATTCCTCGTCATTATAATTCGCTTTCGATAGCGAAGAAAGTGACAGAGGTTATTGAAAACGAAAAAATTTCGATTGACAAAATTAGTCGGTATTCTCGACACAACAATTATAGGACTTGAACAGCGGAACTTTGTAACTGAACAAGAAATTATGTCTGTTTATAGAATTAAAGAGAATGTATTATCACATAAAAAAACGAAGCAACTTAAACAACTTACATTGAAAGAAATGTTTAATAAAGTAAACAAATAAATATTAAGCTTTTTTTTTTTTTGTAAATTTTGATACCCTTTAAATCATAATTGTTCTTTATTTCATAAATTACGGTTTCATATTTTTAATTTTATAATTTCTGCATGCCATCTTACTAGATTTAAACTGATGATCTATAATCCGGAAAAATCGATAATCCGGAATCGCCGAAGTCCTGACGAGTTCGGATAAACGACTTTTGACTGTATATATCTATGCATACAAACCCACATTTTAAACTACTGCAATCAAATGACATTCAAATTACACATTTTGATATATTTAAATCATTCTTGATAGTTAGTGTTTTCTTATATAGAAACTATTTAATAAAATCAGTTAAAATTAACACTTTATAAACAGAAGTCCCGGAAATTGTCCATACCTGATTATTTAAATTGTACAGGTAATTTGACACAAACAGGTGAATATTCCGCATTATTTCAAGCACATCCAGACCCTAAAAATATTTAAACAAATATATTAAGAGCTACTCAAAGAAAAAAATTATATAATGGCATATGTCATGTAATATTGAAATAAAATACACTTTATTCTTGATGAATTTTTATTACACATCAATAAATCTTCTAATTCAAATTCTGAACAGATAACATATATCTTCACACTATACAGAATAATTTCTTTCTAGTGGTTTTGTTCATTTATAATTAAAGGTCTCTAATTTGAAAAATGATTTAGATATTCCACAAAACTGGCAACTAAAACTTGCTGGCCCACAAGTTTGAATAATGTAGTGGTATAATGCCATATGAAGCAAAAAAATGCATAACCTAGGCCACACATATTCCTAATGTTCACTGCACTATTTGTATTTTGATCTCTGAGAGAAGTCAGCTTTCCTGACACTTACTGCTGTCAATTTCCTGGTACACTTGTTGGAAGAAAACACAATCAAACAGTAGTCAGATCTTCAAAACTTTTTTAATTTGAAATGGTTTTTTTTGAAATACAAAATTTTGTACTTAAGATACTAGACTATTACTACAAGATAAAAGTAATGCAACATAATCAAGAAGTATTATGACATTAAGAGGTACTATTTATTTTACAAGAGTAGCGTATATTCCATATGTTAGCATAATTGTAACTTCAGCATTAACAACAACAAAAATGTAATCTTAAAAAAAAAATTGCAGTAAAATACAACTATTAAACACATTCAAAAAATTTTTGAAACTGTAATACTTTTGCTGAATTATAAAATGCAAAACATGCTGAAATAAATTAATTCAAATTTTCATTGATATACCAACTAATTTTAAATGAGCTTTTAGATAATCAATCACTTGTACTTCAGAGTTTTCTTCTTATATCAAAATACTCTTATATGGAAAAAGTTTTGGAACAAAATTAAGGAAACTTTTGCAGAATCAATAACAATTCTGAAATATTCTCAAAGTACACATTAATCATCTGATAATGGAGGCCATCTTACATGACAATGACTAGCCGTATGCATAAAAGTAGTCACATAGCTGTGCTGCAGATGCAGTCAGAAGTTCTAGCAGCACTTTTGTAGTATTGTTAGTGACTAAGGTATTGGTCACTAACAACCTACTAACCATTAAACTTATGCCCAAATTTTGAGGAAAAACATCCTCGGGGAGCAGTCTAAGGGTCTTTCATCCTTCTTCGTCTGCCACCAACCTCTCAGGTGAACTTTCAGCTGACTGTGTATTTTGAAGCCTTCCTTGCCACACAGACACTACATGCTTACATGCCCAGACATGCTTACAAACATCCATCCATGCCTTCTCCAGGATTCGAACACGTGCTCATCAGTATGGCAGTAAGCATCATTGACCACTGTACCAGATGGGTGGCTAAGCTGTGCAACAACAAAACCTTTATTATGTTATGATGCTTTTTAGATTAACAAAGTACACTCATAGCTTCAGTTCTTTAATGCCCTTGAAAAAGTGCCAATGATAAATGAAGCTGTTTCTCCTGCAGTATGTGTGATGACAAAACAAAATTTTCAACTGCATTTGGATTTTGTATTGTTCAAATTACTCTGGGCAGTGTGAAAAAAAGTCATGATTTTTTAAAATTTACATTGGATTTTCTTCCTACATTGGCTTAATTAAATAGTTACAACATACTCAATGTTTTCAAAGTAAGTAAATCCCTAATTAGCTAATACTAAGAAGCATAATATACATTTTGGCATGTAAATTAATATTATAATAATTAGGGATAATAAGTCCAATACTTGGATGCTCACTTTTCCGGATAATCTAATACGCAGACTTCTGAATAACAACAATAATAAAATTTTACAAAATGAGAACTTTTTTAAAACCAAGTCTAAGAATGGGAAATATAACATTTAAAAAAAAAAATGCACAGCAAAAGAGATTTTTCTAATAACTGAGATTCCTGTACGTCTTTCAAACACCTGCTGACTAGTAAATCACACAATAGTCAATGGCAAAATACTGATTGGTGTTAGTCACAGCCAAGCTTTCGGTCCTTGAGTGGTTGTGGAGGAGAGGGTCAAAATTTTTCTATCTGACCTAAACAATAAGTGAAGCTCCAAGATACATTTGGAGTGAGATGTTGCACATAATAATTTTCTTTTGTTGGCATAGCAGAGGAGAAAGACACAAAGAATTAGAGTTGCACTCTTCCTGAATTTTCTCATTTGATCCAGTTTATTATTTTTTGCAAGCTATTAATATTACATCCATCCTATAAACATTAAAATTCGTATTTTTGATTATGTTGAAGAGTTCGTAATTCTGAAGCTGTGGCAAGATCTGCAAAGCATATTTAGCACTCACTTTCCATAGTGGCCTTGGCACAATTCCTGCTTAAGAAAGTGATTTCAAAATTATGCAAGACAACAGTCTTATTTTGCATAGAGTTTGAGTGCTATAGAAGGCAAAATTCTCCAACTGATAATTTGTGAAGGAATGCGAAGAAGTGATACTAAATGAAGAAGCTATAACAAAAATGTTCTATTGCTATGATAGTCCCCAATCAGCTAACGGACAGTGAAATCTTTATGGTTGTAAACCCAGAAAATGTTGTTACTGATAGTGAAGAAAATGTCAAGGATGCTTTTGAGAATGAGAAGATTCCGAATGACAGTTGAGTGGGATTTCATGACATGGCAATTACAAGACTTGTACAACGGAACTTTGTAAATGAAATTATGTCTGCCTATTAAAGCAAAAATATTAGCCCAAAAAATGGAATAACTTAAACAACTTACACTCATAGAAATGTTTAATTAAACAAATAAAAATTAAGAGTTTTTTTTTTTTTTTTTTTTTGTGTGTGTGTGTGTGAATTTTGATTCTCTTAAGATCATAAATGCCTCATCATTGTATAAACAACTATTTCATGTTTTAATTTTATAACTTCTACATGTCATCTTACTAGATTTAAAATGATGATGTAAAATCTGCAAAATAATGCGGCAACGATTTTGAATATGACTTTGTACAATATAAATTGCACAGAATTTTCCTAACTAGTACTATAAAAAACAATAAAATAGCTTTCTGGCATTAGTAGCTAACAAAGACGATTTAATCATATAGACTTATGTACACATAAAATACTAATACGTAAACCTACACACATAAAAAAAACTCATGTAATTATATCTTTCACATAAGTACAAATAAAAAACAATCAGAGCAAATATAACCACAGAAATGGCACTTAACATGCAATCTGCATAACATTCACAATCATATCACATTTGCATTATTGCCATTTGCAGTCAATGCTTCAACTAACATTTCCCCCCCCTGCCTTTTTACCCACAAACTGATTTCCCAATTCGAAGTCCATAATTCCAGAAGTAGGAAACATTCTTTCAGTCCTTGCTGATGAAGATCTTACTGTGTGCTTAGCATGGCAATGATATTCAGTTCTCCCTCCCCCCAGTGCATTTTTTCATAACTGCTGTTGATTTCCACCATTCAAATATGATCATCGATCTGACTAGCTTATTTTCAGAGTTCTGCAGAAGGGTAAAACAAAATCAATAAATTCAGTTTAATGCTGAAGAAAACAGTATCTGCATACTTTTATTAATCCCAATGCCTTCTCCTTTTTTTGTGTTCAATTTTTTTTAGGGTTTCAACAACAAAAATAAAGAAATTTTCCCTTGTATGTGGTATTAATGATATACTAATAGTTTCCATTAAATGTACAGTTCCATGTACTGTACAAACACATATGCAAATTATTGGTTGATCATGAATATTAGACCAACTCTCTGGCATTATACAACAATAACTCCATTAATTTTATGAGACAAGAATTTTTTGCACTATGAAATGATGCATTTGTAACATAAAAAAAGTACCTACTTAATGTTTTAAAGAAGGTCTTTTTACATTATAAAAACTTAGCACATGCACTACACATTTTCAATTAGGGCACTAATTGTCAGAGTTACACAATGGAATAGACATACTTGTTATATAAATAAACTGAATTATACCTTCATCACAGGGATAACAGCGTTTATTAGGAGAATGGAAAAGTAAGCAATAATACAACGATCAATATTACTACGACTAATACAGAACCTGAAGTTCTATAGTTGGCAGACTGCCCAAAAACATAGATTACATAATTTAATGCTCAAAGAGGCGAACACAAGCTAATAAAAGAAATCACACTAATTATTGCATCTCGAGACATTTGGAGGTATAAAATAACAACACCCCTCCTCAATAATTAATTCTTAATAAAACAAAATAACTTAAGATGCATAAAAACAATAAATCAATATATAATATGAAATTACATCTTTAAAATAATCCAAGGTTTTGCCTAAAAGTTTTATTTTGTTTGCCCTAAAGACTATCCTATTGCTCTTTCATATTCCTCAACTTTACCATAAGTTTTTGCATCTTTCCTTTGCTTTTAATATCCTAGATCAATAGGAAACATAGACACTTGGCAATCAGTCATGTGATACTGTTTCAGCTTTCTCAAAATGTAGCTTGACTGGTCTAGGTAGAATATTCCCTCGTTGACATATTGACAATGCATGCCTAAATAGTACTGAAGATTTCCTTAATTTTTCACCGAGAAATGTTTACCAATTTCGCTTAAAAAATTTTCAAGTGAATCTTCTGTGCTTGCTGCAACGACCATATCATCCACATGTACAGTGATGTGTAGAAACCCTTCTTTATCCTGTCTTGTATATAAACAAGGGTCATTTTGACTTCATTCAAATCTTATGCTTAAGAGAAATTTCATTAAGTTTTCTGTTCCATTCATTGAAACCTTGCTTGAGTCCTTGCTTTACAAGTTTACAAACTTTATCACCTTCTTCAAATCTGGGAGGTTGTTTCCTGTATATATCATGAGATAAATCTCCATTTAAATATGCTGATTAGATATCATAATGTCTTACTGCTAATTTTCTTTTTCCTGCTATGGTAAGAAGCGTTCTCAAAGTAA